AGACTCACTCTGCTCCTGAGTTTCATGTGTACAAAGTAGAAATCACATGCCACCTAGTCAAGAGAAAACGGTTGTTGTGAAGATTAAATTATGAGACAATCACCCAACAGTCAGTAGTGCCACAAAATAAGAACTGTATTAATTTTTAAAAAAAAGTCTTTAATCTTCCCCCAGTGGACTCACCAAGTCTGTAATGTTTTTATTTTTCTTAGTTTGTCCTCACTTCATACTGTCTGTCCTTCCTGCTGTCTGTTATCTATATAGTGACATCATCTCTCATTTGGTTCTTAAGGAGCACTCCTGGGTTTAAACATAAGCCATCCTCCTGTATTCGTGAGCAGCATTTGGCTTTCTCAAATGCAGTGTATCTTTTTGTCAACATTATAAGCACACATTACTTTGTACTGTTGTTTCAGTCACTCCCTGCTTTTACAGCTCCAATGATGTTCATAGTGTCTTCCAAGTCTGGCGTGAACACTGCAAGTAGTACCTTCAACTTGAAATGACCAGTGTTAAGATAACATCAACCACGATCGCCATCTGTTGGCGGTGGTTGGTGTAGACGCACGTCTCCCAAGCCCAAACATATGTTAACTGGGAAGAGGGGATGGATGGCAAGTGGGAAGGGAAAGAGTGTGTGTGTGTGCACATGTTTGCACATACATCACTTACAACCTGTGAGGAGCACACCACCATTCAGATCTGGACTTTGGGTGATTTTAATTTTATCTGTGTTCTAATTCCAGTAGTATGTATTGCTTTTGTTATTAGAATAAACTAAAAAGAAAGATATAACTTAGAAGGGAGAAAGCTATGGGGACAAGCAAATCATTTTTTTCTTCAAATTAAAACTAAAATATATTTGATTTTTAGTCATAAGTGTTAATGGGAGAGAAAGGAATATAGATATATTGCAAGCTAAAGAAGTTTTAGTACATTCTAAGCAGTTCTTCAGCCTCGTCCGCATAAGCAAGTAGGTCTAAACGTGAATTTTTACTTGTTATCCTCTCCCTTTGAAATTCTAATTGTTCTGCAGTCACGTCTCTTAATTACTCTTGATCCCGTTACTGCTGGTGCTTCCTCTGGAGTGGATTAACTGCTCATAGAAAGGGCATCATAATCAGGGCAGCGAGGGCTGCGGGCTGAGCCTCGATCCTTTGAAGTTGGATAAAACCTGAAGAATCAGCATAGACACAGTGCTTCCACACAGCCCTATACCCCCCCATTCTCGGGTGTGTCCCTGCTCCGTGTTCTTAGAGTGTGCATTCTGCCAGTCCAGGGCCCCCATTTGCCTGGTACATTGTACCTCTCTTTTCCTTAATTTTTTTTAAAAACAAATTAAGCTACAGATGGGAACAAGGGAAGCTGAAAGTTTGGGTTGCTTTATCAACTTGTACCCAACGATCTGTTACTCTTGTGGGCACTAGTGATTGACAGTAGATGCAGATTAAGTTCTAATTACCTGTGACACCTCCCCCCCTATTATTAAATCTTACTGCAAGTAAAGCTATCAGGACAACAGTGACCATTTCCCATTATGCTCTGAGTGGACAGCGTGGAGATGTTTAATGAAAGGGAAACCCCTTACACCCCTCAGTGGCTCCAAGTAATCACCTCCCTGTGTGCAGGAAGCCAGCAGACCGTAACTCCGCAGACAGAGAGCAGAAGCCTTTCTACCTCTCTGTGAAACCACGGTCTTTCCGTCCTGGCCCACGAGCTGACGAACCCCGCAATGGAAAGTCAAACTGATCAATTTCAGAATGTCTTCTCTTCATTTCCTTTTCGTCGGTCTCGAACCATGCATTTGTTTCATGTTAAAACAAACAAAAACTGCTGGCCGTGGAAAAAGAGAAATCCGTGTCAGTAGCGAAATGGAAGGGACCACTGAGTCCGACCGCTCATTGTCATCCCCCCCCCCCAATCTCCTTTCATAGCTGGGCTAATGAAGGACACACTGCTTTTCATAATAACCTCATAAATAGGCTGAACTTAAATAACATGCATTTTTTGAACTTTGGAAATTTAGGCAAAGTCTTAGACTCAAACGGTGATTTTTTTTCTTTTACAATAATGGGAGTAATAACAGACTGTGAAGATGAATAAAATACGTAAGATGTATAAAACACACTACACATAACCTCATCATTGTTCATGGTATGGCTTTAAGAGCATAAGTAGGAGTTTGGTAACTGTAATCCCCTTTATTATTTCTTCAGTGAATCAGACAATTAGGGCTGGCTTCTGGGAAGAAAAGATTGGCACAGGCCCTTTGGGATCTAGATGGGTAAGCTGGGGTAATGGACAGGTGGGATGGACATGTCTAAAGTGGTGTTTGAGGTACATTTACGCAGACGGGTCCTCTTAGACAGACTGGTGGTGGCCAGAGGACTATTTAGTGCTTTTAAAGGAAGTCTAGACAGCGTGGGGAAGAAGGGGATTTTGGAAGCGTCAGAGACAAAGCTCAGCAGGGTTACAGTTGTCTTTGAGGGATGACTGCACTGATACAGTCCTGGGTAACCTGAGCTTGGTGGGAGATGGGGAGAGTCACGGTGTTACTGAATCAAGACGCGGGGAGGAGATGGAGTATGTGTTTGGGATGCTTTGAGAATAGAATTTAGAAAGTGGTAGGCAGGAGGCAATTTTTAGCTAAATACTTGCTATCTTAACAAAACAGTAAGACATTTAAGTAGAAAGAAAGAAGTGAAGACAAACAAATGCTCTTGCAGAATTTGTGTGTTAAAAAAAAAGTCAGGAACAAGAAATGGCATCATAAAAAATGAATTACAACTACATCTCTGGATACATGTCCAAATAAAGTCAGGGTTAAGGATCAAAAACTAAATGCAAAAAGGGAGGCAAGGAAGTGGAATGGACAGGGAAGCCCCAGATGGACCATGGAGATGGAATGAGAGCCACCTCTGTGGGTACCGGTTCCCATGGTGAAGAGCAGTGCACACAGCGCAGGTGTGAGCATGAGCGCCATGTCTCGGTCAGCAGAGAAGAAACAGCGCAGTGGGGCGGGGTGTGTGTGTGTGTGGGTGTGTGTGTGTGTGTGTGTGTGTGTCCTGAGTGTTAGCCTCTTTATATCCCCTACATCTCTGTGTCTTTGCCATCATGAAGTGTTCAAAGCAGCAGCAGAGGGGACAGTGCCAACTCCCGACCTTGTCCTAAATGTCCTACTGCTTGGCTGACAAAAAGCCCACGCACTCTGAGACCTCAGGCGAGGTGTCCTCACTTAAGTGACTGTCAGCCCCCTTGTTCTCAGCTGGAGTCGTACCAACTTTTCCCTGCTTTGGGAGATGTGCGGGTGGCAGAATCTGAGAAGTGCTTTCATTGAAGCCTGCAGATGAGAGAATGCTGGGAAAGACCAAGCGTGTGACCTTGGAAGCTGAGTGCCTGCTGAAGGGTCGTCTTCATGTCTTGTGTGTTCTTGGCGCTCCTGCGTCTTTACATCTATTTTTGTAAACATAGTGATCCGAGTGGATGTTGTTATAAATGTTCGGTGTTTCTTCAGGGAATTGAAGGTGTTTGTGCTGCATTATGCCTCTTGGATGTAATTATCAGTGGAACCCTAAATTATCTTTACTTTCATGCCTAGTTAGAACTCATTTGACTACGTGATTATACAGAGTGGAAGGAGGAGAATTAAATGGATAAGAGAGGGGGCTCGTGGCCATTTGTTTCCTCCAGACAAATGTATTTCAGCTGCTCTTAATGCACAAGTACAAGTTTATAATATTCAGAGTGGTATAGAAAGGGATGCAGATTTCTGAGATTGCCTAACACACTTGAGACATGTGAGTTTCTTTTCTCACTCCCCGGTGCCTCGGTGTGTTCATGACATGCTAGACAAGTGCTCAACCAGCCAGCTACATCCCCAGCATTAAGACTCATTCCATCTTTTAATCCTCAAAAGTCCATCATGAGAAAGGCATAAGAGAACATGTTTAGAAACTTGTAAATTAACCATCAGAAAGTGGAATTTTAGAACTTAACTATATATATGTGAGGAAATTTGGGCCCCAGACTCATGAAATATGTCCTGCATATTTCTCTCAAGTTTACTTTGATTTTAAAAAATATAAATACTCTTTTTCAGGTGTTTCCCTGAGGTGTTAGAAAACAAGCATAGGTAATAGTGCTTTTCCTCAGGGTCTGCACCAAGTGGGTATGGAGTTAGTATCTGTATGTGAATATAAATTAACATTTAACTTTAAGGAGCAGTGCACTAAATCAGAATAATCTGCATTTTTCCTCTCCCCAATTTCTGTGACACCATAAGGAATTTAACCACATTTCTCATGCACACAATCATTAAATTAGTGATTAATCCCTGTTCAGTTTTATCGTCTCAACCGTCCATCTTATACACAAATACATGCTCACTCTCACCATACTAATAGTTATTACTGAGTTAGAAGGTGATATTAGTAACATTTATAAATGTAGAAGTCTTTGGCAAAAGAAAAAAAAAACCCTATCTTTTACCACTATCTTTTAAGTTTGTTAAGCATAATACATATACAGCCTAGCCTGTGACCACACAGCACTCACTGTTCACTGAGTCAGGATCAATAGAATAATACAACAACTTTTTTGCTGTCTGTATTTCATAAAAGCTGTGTGGGTTGTAGGACTTTAATAGATCTGTGGCCTTGTATTTGGCTTTGTAGTTGACCACAGACATAATGTTACCAGAAGGAGAAAAAAAAATTTTTTTTGTATAGAGTGTACAGTGCATTCCCCCCCCCCCCCAAAGATTGTCAGGAAAGTACCTGTTCTTCAAAGCTAAACATCAAACTTAATACAGAGCTTCAAAGGGAGAGCCTGGCCATTCCATTTTTTAGTTTAAAGTTCAGAATTCTCATTGCGTGCCCCTCAGTAAAGAACATTTTGTACTTTAAAGTTTGCAGATGTTTGAAAAAAAAGTATGTGTGTTCTTTGGACTTGGACATGAATAAGAGTTCCTTATGACTTCTTCCTGTTGCCTTTTGTTTTAGATATGGGAAAATCGTCTCCACGAAGGCAATTTTGGATAAGACAACCAACAAGTGCAAAGGTATGTTTCTGTGGGCAGTCATCCCCTCGGCCATAGCTTCAGAAAGACAACTGAGTGAGTGGTCTTCGGTTTCACAATTAACCTCATGGTGTTAAAAAGCAAGTCTCGTATGTCACCCAGTTTCTGTCTTGCACAATGTCAGCATATTGCTTACGTTTGTTTTGTCCCTGGTGGAGTTTTGGCTGGAAACCCCACAACTCGCAGTTTGCCAGAATTCTGGACTCGGCACCGGTAGAGTTAACATGTGAAAATACGAGTTGGCATTTAGCCCCTGCCTCTAAAAGGGGGGGAGCAGAGCTAGAGAATAGCTTTCCTTTCCTGAGCCTGGGGAGATTAGAGCTGCTTACTGAAGACCATTGGACTGTACCAAAGAACTGAAAAGGTTACATATTGTGTAAATTGGCTCTATTAATTAGAATAGAGTAGTTTTAAGCAGTACTTAATTACATGTTTCAATACTCTCGATTGTTCTCTGCTGAATGCCTGTTGACAATATTGGCGGCAGGGAGGAGGGAACCATTTTCACTGACCAAATTGTACCAGGGAGGGGAGGTCACGCGCCCCTTTGAAATATGCTGCTGCATTAATTTGATGCACTGACCTTCAGTTTTCCATGCAATTAGGATGAGCTCATCCAGCTCCTTGAGCTGCGAGTGAAAGCGTCCAGAGCAGGGTGGCGCAGATGCTCTGTGCATCTGACTTTTAATGATCCAGTGTCTTAACAATAGGCATGTGATTTCTAGGAAAATGGAAGAATGGAGTCAGCTGACTTTGACTCTAACTGCTGACCCCGGGAATTGAAGCAAGGTTGACAGGAATAGGCAGAGAAGGCAAATCTCCTCATTAATTAGACCCCAGTTTTTCAAGTCGTGGTGATGGGGCATTGGCTTAGCAATGAAAAAGGCAGAGAACATAAATGAAGCCTAGGGTGAGGCCTCCCCTTGTAAGCCAGTCCTTTCCTTTAATCTAGACTTGAAGTGGTTCATTGTATGCTCCCTCTTCAAAGTGCCGAGATTTAAAGGAGCTATTGTGGCAAATATCTAAGCCCGTGTTTAATCAACATGGCATATTAAGGCAGTTTTGCCTTAGGACAGTGAATAGAGTGTGCTTTATGTAGAGTGGTACCCAATAAATATTTAAAATGAATTAAACCAGAGAGAGTCAAATGCATGCGGAAATGCATGCACTTAGTTGCCAAGATTGGTTTTATTTAGCATCAATAAATGATTTGGGAGATCAGACACACACACACACACACACACACACACACACACACACACACACAAAGTCTTTTGGTTTTATGGAGAAAAATAGGCCCTCACCAAGCACAAAGCAGGAAGCTGATCTCAAAAGTGAACTTCAAACTGGGAGAGAAATCCCAGTGGATAAATGGTTTTAGTCCCCCATCCCTCCCTTTCTTCCTCACTCCAGAGAAATCTGCTGTGGCAGTTCATAATGCTGAAAAAGCAGAGCTGTGACATTGAGTAGGGGAGAACCCCTTCTCCAGCTGAACTCTCCAGTGCCCATACTGAAAGGCACTTCCGTGTGCTCTTCTCCAGTGGCTGCCTCTTTCCTGGAAACCAGAATTCTGCCCCATGTTCAGCGTGGTCTAGGCAAGGACAGTGAATCTCACTCTGCCATATGCAAAACTGCGTGTTTGTGGGAAAGTGTCCACAGATAGAGAGATTTATGAGGCTTCTAAACAAAAGTAAGGGTGATTCAGAGCTACTATTCAATCCAGCAAGTCTCCTGGCCACCTTCTCATCAAGCAGGTCTTGGGAGACACTGCCCTGTGGGGCCACGTATGATTCTTTCCAGGATTCTCAGTCTCACTAGCCTCTGCATAGTGTGCATTGGCAGCTGTGTAGGGTGTGAAATAGAGGTAAGGGGAGAAGATGATCAAGAGGGAGTTTATAAAGTTGTGCCAGCCAGAATGAGTTTGCAGGATGGGGTAATGTTGAGACAAATGAGAGATAACAATTTGGTTCATAATAAACCTGGATAACATGCCACCTACAATAATTTGCTATGGTCGGTATATGTATATAGTTTTTCATGTATGATAGTTTCAGTGCATATAGATATATTAATACATAAGAGATTAGAGAGAATTGCTATAAATGAGAAACGCTATACTAAATATAATTTTTAGAGATTAGATATATTCAAGTATTTCACACAGGACTCCAAGAGATCTTTGAAGGTCATGAGACTTTTTCACAAACTTATTTGACAGCCTCTCTTTTGGACAAAGTTAAGATGAAGAAAATGTTAAGTCTAAATAAGGTGTATTTGTTGTTGACGATTCAGTTGGTATTTTATATTTCAATTTTTGTCAAAATTTAGCAAACAAAAGGTTTTGAGGTGCTTACCAGTAATGCCATAGGCAGGTTAGGACAGAAAAGCCCACAAAGGCTTGGCTAGAAATTGAGTTATAGATGAGATGAGAGTATATATACACATTGACACAGAAGAAAAACGTGGGTGAGGGTAAATCAGACTGGTAAAGTGCAGACAGAAAACCTCATTTTATCACAAAAGAAGCCTGTGTTTGATAGAAACCAAAGCAGAAATGCAAAGCATACTCTGCCCATGTTCAGTCTTTTCACAATGGGGGCAGACTTCAGTAAGCAGGATGAATATGACTACTCGGGGTCTAGGGACCTGATGACTTAATCTCCTAGGATCATCACTGAGCAAACCTGCATGTTACTTAGCCCCACCTTCAAAGACAGCTGCATCCCTGTTTATACAACGAGATCTAATTAATTCTATAGACATCGTATGAAATTGTATGGGTCTTACCTTTACTTGAAAGTAGTACAGATAAATGGACAGCACATGGTTGCATGGCTACCAGTTTTGTTTATCTTCAATAAATGGTTATGAATTCCTAGAGTAGGATTCTACAAAGGCCAGAAACACATGCTATCCATGACTGAATGCAACAATTTGTATTTCGTATTACAACAATAAAAACAAAGAATGGTCCTATTATACGAGCAGATTGCAACTTCAAGTGCAATAAATGGCATCATGGCGGAGAGGTTCTGCTTATTGTAATGTATTGGCAGTGGCAGAGTTGGTAAAAGGACGTGTACATCAGTAGAGGCTGCATCATTTCAGTGCAGCAGGGTGTGCTTGCTTATGATCTCCAGACATTGTGAAGTTGTATGAGAAAGTCAGAGGCAGAGCTTGCCTGAGAATCCAAACGTGATGCATATTGACATAAGCCCCAAATGTGTTCAGCCTATCTCCTACCCTGGCAATTGAGGAGCCCTGTCTGCTTTGGCTGGCATCAGCTGCCTCCTTTTTCTTCCCAACCTGGCTATTTTTGTACTGACTAAATCAAATAAGCCTCTCTCAATCCAATTCCAAGTACTATAAAGGAGCTGTTGCTTATTTCAACATCCACATCCCTCCCTCCTGAAATGTCCACGTCTGTAACTGGTGGTCTGTTCCATTACAGTTCACTTTGTGAAGAAGCAGGTCATGAGGCCAGTGCTGCGGCATGACTGTCGCGTGTTTCTCTTTCACGTCATTGTTGTATGCATGTCCCTCCAACACCAGTACTATCTCTTCATAAATTCTGAGTATCGATGCGAGGCCTGGTTCCTCTTCTTCATAGACTTCTAAATAGTGCCATTCTCTTTCTAATTATACTTACTGAAATTAATTTTAGAGCCAAGTGTGGCAGTGCATGTACTCACAAGGCTGAGGAGGAGTGCAGGTCCCCGGTAACCTGTGCTATGTAGCAAGACCTTGCCTCAGACAAAAATTTTAATAATATTTTAATATTTTTTATTAAATAAATGCATGTACATCTAGGTACCCCCATGTATGTACACAAGCATAATAGTGGTATATACCTGTATAAAAATAAAATTTCCTATGACTTGAGTTCAGAGCAAAGCTGGAATTTGGGCGAGGCTCCTAGCAAGTCTTTTAAGTTGTGCTAAATATGCTTACCCCTTCCTCAGTATGTGAAGAGTTACTGCAGTGAACACTCTGATAGGCTGTTTTCATGCAGTGATGTCTGGTGGATCTACAAGGGGCCCGTGGCACTCCTTCTTGCTAGTCTGCACTGGAGGTACCGTCCATGTGTAGATATCCAGTGCTGCCTTCCTCAGCCTCCACCCCCTAGTTTCCTGTTTTGATTTCCTGTGGCCTGGAACATGGATGATGAGCTCATTAAGAGTGTTTGTGAAACCACAGGTAAATGAGCACTGAAGAGTGGCCTTTCTTAGGTGTGTTTTGCTATGTTGCATACTGTCTTTAGTCTTTATGCAAAGATGGGTGAAATAACTATTTCAGGTATCTGGAAGCATTTTCCTTCTCTCCTTTATTTTGGAGAGAGCTAATGTATTTTAGGTAAATGAGTACTTTTAACTAGGCACTAAAATTTAGACTTTATTTTAGTATCAAATGTTCACACTTACTTTAACTTAGAAAACTACGGGATAATCCATAGAAGACATAATTTTTGTTTCTGTCACTTTTGAGCTAGTCAAATTGCTCGATCTTTTTTTTTTTGTTATATGCTTTAAAAGTTCCTGAAGTTGTCTCTCACAACACCCCCAATGCCCCTTTACTTACTTATTTGTTTATTTATTTGTCTGTCTATCTATCTATCTATCTATCCATCCATCCATCCATCTATCTATCTACCTACCTATCTATCTATCTATCCCTTGCTTAGAAACTTAAATGTCAGGTGTTTTACAGCTCAACTCTGCGACACCTGAGAAGATCTTTAAGAAGACAAAGCTCATGTCCCCACACACCCCTCACACACACATGCTTTTAAGGGATGCTTTGAAGGATCAAGGAAACCACTGCACCATGCACACATCTACTTCTTTTTTTTTTTTTTTTTTTTTGGTTTTTCGAGACAGGGTTTCTCTATGTAGCTTTGCACCTTTCCTGGAACTCACTTGGTAGCCCAGGCTGGCCTCGAACTCACAGAGATCCGCCTGGCTCTGCCTCCCGAGTGCTGGGATTAAAGGCGTGCGCCACCACCGCCCGGCTATGCACACATCTACTTCTAATGCCTGTATCAAACCAATATGAAGTCCTTTTTTTTAATACTTCCTATAATCAAAAGGTCATGGCTTAAGAAGAGTGTCTTTTGCATTCCAGGTTATGGCTTCGTTGACTTCGACAGTCCTGCAGCAGCCCAGAAAGCTGTCTCTGCCCTGAAGGCTAGTGGAGTCCAGGCCCAGATGGCAAAGGTGAGTGGAGCCCTGTGTCCCCGAAGGTCGCTGCTCCTCCATCCCTCCAAGCACTGCTATGCACCCAGGCATGCATCCTCAGTCATAGCAATTATGCAAAGGCTTTCTTCTTCATACTCTAAAGAAGGATTGACAAATGTGTATACTTTGCATAGTAAATTATGTAACCCCATAAGTGAGTCCAGAAATAGCATCCGATTTTCTTGGATAATCAGAATTCCGGAAGGCTTTAAAATCTACACTGTTTTCTGAAAATAGAGCTTCACAATTTGTTGGCCAAAGAATTAAGCCATTTTAGGCACACCTCAAAGAGAAGGTAATGGGATACGTATGTCTCAAAGCAGAATGAGAAGTATTTGGGGAGAGGAGGGAGAACGGCAAAAGGAGAGAGAAGGAATGGGTAAAGAAGGACAAACTATCATAGGTATAGAAATGTCACAGTGAAACCCGTCCCTTTGTATAATAACCAGGAGATTCATTTAATAAAGTAACTGGGGAGGGATTGGAAGATGGCTGGTTGGTAAAGTGATTGCCATGCAGACATAGGATCCCTGACAGGCATGTAAAAAGCCAAGCTCAGTGAAATATTCAAGACTCTCTGTGCTGGGCAGGGAATAGGAGGACGCCACAGGCTTGCTAGCCACCCAGTCTAGCTGAATTGGTGAAGTCCAGGTTCAGTGAGAGACCCTGTCAAAAATTAACGTGGAGAGCTACTGAGACAGTCATCTAGTGTAAACCGGCCTCCAGACACAGACACACACAATTGAAGATAGGAAAGGTAATTGTGCGTAATTTGAAGGGATAGATAAGTGGCTCACATATGGATTTATACAAATGAGAGGTAGGATATGAATGTATGCCATAGATGCTATTTTATCTGTATGATAGCCAGATGATTTTTACATGCTGATTATTTATGTAATATGAATCTATCCTTCAGTAGTTTTACATGGACTTTATTCAAGACTTATTTCTGGTGGACTTTAAGCATCCTCGCTGGGGAATATTGTTGAAATTTTCCTCCAAGTGAAGAATATGCCTAAGCACTCAAAGACTATAAAACGAGGACCATATGTTTCATGCTTCATAAGCATTCGAGCACAGTGTGCCTGGGTTTTAATTACTTTAAGACATAATGCTTTCCCTGAGTTCTGTTCTCTTTTGCTAATTTCCTTGCAAGGTTAAAGACCTAGAATCCAGGGATGTCATCACTTAGACATGTGAGTGGATTGACTCACTAGTACGTGTCTCCTTTCACGTCAGATTCACTGTCAGAGTCAGGATACTGCTGCAGAGGGCCCAGCTGATAAACGCACTCACTGCCACGCCTGCTAACCTGGGTTCTGTCCCTGCAACCACTGTAGCAGGAAGGGAGACTAACTCTTACAGCCTCTCTGATACCAATAAGCACACTGTAGCACGTGTGCACAAATACATCCAAGTGTATAAAACGCTTGAAGCCTCAGATGATTTGATGAACTTGGAAAGGTTAGTTTAGCATGACCAAAATCACCAACCCAGAGTAGTTAGAATCCTAAAGCTAAAGAGACTTCAGGTTGTTCTCCAACTTACTGGCAATGAGCCTGTTCTTGTTCTTTGAGATAGGAGCTCACATATCCCAGGCTGCCCTTGTACTCCCTATGTCGCTGAGGATGACCTTGGACTTCTGAATCTTTACCTCCACCTCCTGACTACTCGGATTACAGACATAAACCACCATATGTAGCTTTCAAATTCACATATTTTTATTAAAAATGAGTAAGAATCAGAAAGAGGCAACCCTTGAAACACGGTGCATCTCTTAATGTGTTATATTCTATAACAGAAATTTCATTATATAGTAAACACATCTCAAAGTCACATTAACTAAGCCAATGTGTATGCCCTGGTCTTTATAGGGCAAATGTAAGCTTGGATGATATCCTTACACATAGTACCTATAGGAAATTTATGAAGATAATCATGGGTTGTTTTTTTTTTCCATGCATCAGTTTCTGTGTCAAATATTTTAAAGCCTAATATTTGGCAGTATGTTATTTCAAGTCATCTTTTCAAAAGAGCAATGGTTTTTCTATTACCAGGCTTTATGAAGTGCAGAGGAAAATAATTGGGTACTGTCCTTGGCTACTTCTGAATAGTATCACACGATCACTCCCTAAGGAACACTCACATGTCCAGGAAAGAAGGCTTATAGAAGTTCAAGGACGATGAGGAAGACATAGGTCACTTGAGAAGACCTGAGAGATAAGTTAGCTGCTCACAGCCCTACAGCTGCCAACGTAGAGATACTGTGTAAGAATCGACACAGATAAAGGTTTCCTACAAAGGATTCCTTCCTTCTAATCCACACCACTTGGCGCTGAGCTGGCCTCCAGAGTAGAAGTTAAGACAAACAGAAACCATCAATAGGAAGCATCCTAGTTTTCAGATGATTGTCCATTATATGCGCAATGTCCAGTGTTGGTGTTGAAAAAAAAGTGGAAAAACTATGAGATCGTAAGCACATTGTGAACACAGCGTGCCTATTTGTGTTCTGATCTATAGAATATTTACTCTGCCCCCAGAATCAATGTGTGACTGGACATAATGATGAACAGGGCTTACCCAGAACACCACAGTTCTGTCCTTCACTCTATACATCCCAACTCACTCTGCAAAGCTCCTCCTTTCTCTTTTGATAATATCCAGGAGAGATGCAATGACTTCTGCAACTACTCCCATTTCAGAAAGTCCCTTCTCTTGACTTTTCACACCAAAATGCCATAACTTAGAGCATCTCTTTCACTATATTTTCAGCCATCTCTGTCTGTATTCATGTTGTCCAACCTCATTTAATGTGATGTTTAAGTAACAGTCTGTTGGAGGGAAAGCCTCATTACATTTCATATGCAGTATGTAAAATGTGGGGTCATGTATAGGGGTTTCACAGACTGCCCAGAGCTCTATAAAATATGCGAGTCTTGGCTGTTGCTGGTTCCAAGGGGGCCATCACAGACTACATTGCAGTCATTTGCTGGCAGCCGTATTGACTATTGGGTGATCTGGAAGCAGCATTTTGAAGGTTTCCATCCCGGTGATCATTTATTATGTGAACATGTAGACTGGCATGTGATGAATGGGCTTAGTTACATTGCAGCTAAATCTAATTACATTTTTAGAAGATTGGTTGTGGTTGTGACTGATATATAATGTATTATAATTTTTTCTTACTAAAATAATGCAAAATATTTTAACATTTGATTAACATTTTGATGCTAAACACTTGAAGAAGAGATATTTAATGTATGATATTCAGTGCTTACAATTTAAACACAGTCCTGTTTCACAGAAACTCTGAGTATCAGGTAACAGCAGGGACGTTTCCCTTCCCGAGTTAGGTCTGCTCTTCCTAGCAGTGTGTGTTCCTGCCCAGTCTCTTTTCAGCTTCCCAGCTGGGCTTTCTAACCCTTCAGAGCACCAGCAGAGGGTAGGAAGGTCTCTTGGCCTAACAGTGACGGAATCTGGCTGACTTTCTCTCACGGGCAGTAAACAGATGTTCTTTCTCATAAAGTACCCTGGGCGTGTTTCTGAGCTCTCTACCCAACCCACCTCCCATCCCCCAAGCTAACTAACTGTCAGCCTTCCTCCGGTGAGCTAGCTGTCTCTCCCTGCCCTCCTAGGCAGCCAGCCTCCCTAGGGGACTCTAACTCACTCTAAAACCGCTCTGTGTGGTCCACTTCTTTGGGGTTTTTAGGAGGGGACTTAACCACATAGCTCAGGGTGACTTTGAGTCCGTGATTCTTCCACGTCTGCCTCCTGAGTGCTAGAAATGTTCTACGTGTGAGCAAGCCAGCTTCCAGTGAGTCCTAGTTCCCATCTCTTTACTAACCCTCAGTAAGAGAGTAATTACTTCCCAGCCGCACTGGTAGGCCCTTTCAGTCAGCTTTCTGCTTTTCTGTTGTTCAGCTTTTGAGTCATACATCGACCCATTGTATCCTGCGGGCCGGTGGGATACAGATCACATTTTCTGTCAGGTCTGCTGAAAGCCCTGTTGCTTGGCTGCTAATGAGAGGCTAAAAGACCACATGTGGAGGCCCAGAACATGGCTGCCTTTCTCTCCACGTAGATGTCATTCTCAGCCTCTGTCTCTCTTCTAGACAGATCTGGATGATCAGCTACTCACCCTAATCCAGTCATAGCCAGATTCTTGTAGACTTTCTCTAGGTAGTTTCTTACTGTGGACCCTGGGAACACCAACACCCATTGTCAAAAGTGAGTTAGAAAGAAGGCTGTTTTATCAACCTATCAAAAAAAACACAGGGGCCTTCATGGGGTAGCCCCTATGTACCATCTTAGCCCCTGTAGTACTGAGGAGCATATTTCTTCCAAACAGATAGGCTATGTTTGGAAGAAATCTTTACAGTTCATTTATTCAAAAGAGGCTTGGCTATAGATTGTCTCTATAGGTCATTTCAGTGATGCACTCTGAATGCCATCTTCCGGGAACATTAAGAACAAGCCCCATACAAGGATTTCACAGCTTTACTTTGCAGGGGACATGATTCTCTGTCACCTGTGGAAAGGACCAATGCACAGATTCAGGGATGCTGGCTGTATGTCATCATTCTGCAGAATATAAATTTCAGGACCTGGTTCCTTTTCCATTTCTCATCTTTAAAATCACTTTTTAAAATGCTATCAGATCTCTTGTTCTCTACCATAAAATCATGGGTTTGGGTATCTGGTCTTCACTTTATTCTCTTACGCTGATGAACTCAAGGGTTACCTGATGCACATCTTTTGGGGAGAGAATTTATATAAAGGAAATTTAACTCTGGCTTGTGTGGTTACACTACAAGGGACCAATCACTGTCCACTTTCTTCTAGTGAAGGACTCAGGGGAGGGGGTACTGCGTTGTGTTAAAAACCCACATGCTATAGTCTTTACCTCTTGTGTAATCTGAAGCAACAAAGGGGCACTCAGCTGAGAGAAGGCTGAGCTGTAATGTTGCTTGACACCT